ACCTGTATTATTTACTCTGGAATGCCTTTTGAAAATTTGCTTGCCCCTCTTTATATTCCATGTTCCATTCCTGACCTTCATTATGTCATCTGCCAGCACATTGGAAACAGTGGTTCTCTCTAGTGAATCAGTGGCCAGGCTGGCTAGTAGATTCTGGAATTGCAGTTTGAAGAAATCATGTCTTGCAAGCTCTGCCCACTACTCCTAACTCCACTGCCAAGATACATCTGATGGCTGCCATGGCCATGACAACAACAGCCAGGGGCCTCTTTGTCTCTGGCACAAGAAGTGCTTGGAGTGGCAGCATCCCAAGTACAACAGATTCCAGGAAATGCAGATTTTTCCAGGGTATCAGAGGACTCCATAGTAAACGCTGGACTCTGGAAGCCTCATCAAGGTTAATGTAGTTTAGATCATCTGATACAAAAAAAGTTAAGAGAAAATGAAGATTTTCAAATGTGAAGATTATCAGTGAGGTCTTATAGCATTTGTGGCTAAAACCTTCTGCATTAATTTAGAAATGAGTGAAGACTTTCTTTCAAAAATAAAATCTCAATAGAAGAGCATGGAAGAATGCTTGATTGAAGTTCTGATTTTTCCCATTCAACAATTTATAGGTAAGAGCAGTTTGAACAGAGTTGCTGTGAGTTTTCCAGGCTCTATGGCCATGTTCAAGAAGGAGTTTCTCCTGACGTTTCACCCACATCTATGGCAGGCATCCATGGGTGAAATATCAGGAAAAAAATGCTTCTGGAACATGGCCATACAGTCTGGAAAACTCACAGCAACCCAGTGTTTCTGGCCATGAAAGCCTTCAACAACAGTTTGAACAGAGCTGTTATTATTATGCTTCTTTGTTTCTACAGAAAGGAACAGATACACACATGAATGACATAAAAGGTGGGGAAAAACTGTCAAGGTACTTTGAAAATCCCTTAAAAGTTACATTTAGAAGTAACTAGAAAATGTAACTTGGAACAATAATAGTGCGGTATCATTTCCATTTGTTGTATTAATTTTGTAATATAATTTCATTGTGCCTTCATTACCAAGAAACGTAACTTATTACAATTAACTGTATTACTTGTAACTTGTTATTTTCCAAGTTATACTTCTATATAAACAAAACCATCTGAAACAACAAATATGTAAAAGTAACCAGAAAACTTTACTTGCAGCACTAATAAAATAATTCTCATACTACTTATAACTTGCTATTTCCAAGATAGCTCTTAAATAAACAGAAACAGCCCAGAATAACAAGAAGCATTTAAAATAACTAGATAATGTTACTGCAGCACCAGTAAAGTAATGCTATTCCTAATTGTTGGATTAATGTTGCAACACAATGTGATAGCCTTTGGTTACCAAGAAAAAAATAACTTATTATGGTTGACTATTTTACTCAGAAGTGCAGTGATTTGAGCACTGGACAACAATTTTGGAGAATAGAGTCCTAATCCCTGGACAGAAATGGAGACCTACTAGAGGATGATCTTGGGCAAGTTACACTCTCAGCCTCAAAGGAAGATTAAAGTGAAACCCTCTTTGAACAAATCTTGCAATGAAAAACAAAAACAAAAAAAACTGTGATTGGTTGCCTTAGGACTGTCATAATTCAGAAATGTCTTGAAGGCATTTATTGTTTATTATTTATTGTTCAGCATATTATTTGAGAACACAGAAATGCTGGACCACACCAACAACCACCATGTCAGACTACACAGAGAAGCCATTGAAATCCACAAGCATGTGGACAATTTCAACAGAAAGGAAGAGACCATGAAAATGAACAAAATCTGGCTACCAGTATTAAAAAACTCTAAAATTACAACAGCAAAACAACAGAGAGGAAACAACCAGGCACAGATTAACACCTCCCAGCAAGAGATTTTCCCAGGCTCAGGCAGGCCTTCAAATGCTAATGAAGGTGATCAGCTGAAACATTCACACCTAACTGCAGCAGGGAAGAGCTCCTTGCCCCACCCCAGCCATTCCACAGATATATAAACCCATTGTCCTAATTCCAACAGACCTCACTACCTCTGAGGATGCTTGCCATAGATGCAGGCGAAATGTCAGGAGAAATGCCTCTAGAACATGGCTCTATAGCCCGAAGAAACCCACAAGAACCTAGCGATTCCAGCCATGAAAGCCTTCGACAATACAACAAAAATACTTATTGTGTTTTGATATTTCCAAATTATACTTTTACACAAAAGGAAACAGTCAACAGCAAAAACAGAATCGTATTGTAGGATTGTGCATTTTGGCTGAACCTTGATCAATTTCTGCTGACTGTATTCCAGTAGTCCCTCATATCCGTTTTCGTACCGAAAATGGGTGAGTAGTCAGGTAGCCTTTTTGGCCCTCACCCTAAAATACAGCTAGATCCAGCCCATTGGCGGCAATGGGGAACTTACATGGCTCCCCCTTCTGTTTCTGGGATCCTTTCCTTTTTCCCCTTCAAGGGAGCCTGGATATCAGCACCAAGGTTAAGGAAGCACCCTTCCTGGGACCCTTTCCTTTCCCCCCTCAAGGAAGCCTGAGTATCAGCACCAAGGTTAAGGAAGCACCCTTCCTGGGACCCTTTCCTCCCCCGCCCCCTCAAGGGAGCCTAAGTATCAGCAACAAGGTTAAGGAAGCACCCTTCCTGGGACCCTTTCCTTTTTTCCCTTCAAGGGAGCCTAAGTATCAGCAACAAGGTTAAGGAAGCATCCTTTCTGGGACCGTTTCCTTTTTTCCCTTCAAGGGAGCCTGGTGTCAGCAATGGGGTTAAGAAAGCACCCTATCTGGCCCATTATGGAGGTGGGGGAGGGACTTGCCGGGCTCCTCATCCTGTCATTTTAGGCATTGTTTGTCTTTATATCCTTCATTAAGACCTGGATTAAAAACATCAGAATTAAGACATCATTCTTTCTGCAATCCTTTCCCTTCTGTCTGTGGAGGAGACTGGGTTTAATGCTTCATAAAAGCTGTTTCTACCCTAGATGAGACAGGCGTTGCATGCAGGTGCGTACACACTCTCCCTGCAGCATGCACACAGCTTTCCAAGGCATTTTAAGGAGTCCCAGGGAAAGAAGAGTGATGACCTGGAGCTATCATCCCTGGGCTACCTTTGAAAAGGCCCTTTTCTTTCTCTACTGCAGGCCATGCCTGGAGTGGCACACCTCAATCTCCTTTCTGCTTCGAGTTTAGTGTCCCCTTAAAGCTGTTTCTACTTTCTGCTCTAGAGGAGAGGTAACTAGTAGTTTTCTGAGAATGAGGCTTCTCTTTTTGTTTGCTTGGATTATTATTATTATTAATTACTACTACTACTACTACTATTATTATTATTATTATCTTTTGGAAGTATTTTCTGAAGGAGATGAAGAGAAGGGGGAAAAGAACCTTAAACGGTGACTCTCCAAGCCCCCAAATGCGCATGCACACCCCACCCACCCATCCCACATATTCCCAAATCCCAGTCAGTCCCACTAAATAAAAAGAATCAAGAAAATAAAGGAAAATAAAAAAGATTCAACTGTGATGAGGAGGAGCTGCGATTGGCTGCCACGTTGTCCCATTATGGTAGGAAGGATTAATGAACTGATTATAACCAACTGATTCCTAGTGTCCTTTCTAATCAAATGAATGTTTGTAAGATTTTTTGAAAGCCAACCCTTCAGGAAAACCACTATGAGCCAAACCACTCTAAATTTCATGTTTATTGAAACCATTGCTAGCCTTTTAAGGCATTTTTGTGACAGGGAAGCACAGAGAGAGTTCATTTTTTAATTTAATCAAGTGTAAAATTCAAAAATGACCTCTCACCAGATGCAACAGTTACAGGTACCATGGAAATATTGTAGAGCACTGCACATAAATCATTTTGAAGAATACACTTAGGTATAAATTGAAGGACTGCCAAAGCTACATATTTTTCTTGACCTTGATTATATAACCTAAAAAAATTGCTCTTGATCTCAGTCAGCAATTCTGTCAAATCAATGCTTCCCCAAAGGTGCAAATGTACACATTATACATGTTGTTTGGTCAGTGATCTTACAATGGTCTCACAAGCTTTATATAGAGCATAATTTGAAATGGCTCAATGAAATTCACAATCTGGATGTGGGAAAGAAGCTCTTTTCCAGTGTGGTTTCCCAGTGCTTGAAGCAGATATCTGTGATCCTTGAAAACAAGCTGAATCCTCTCTTGGACTTTTCATCTGGGTCTAAAGGAAGTTCTTTGAGGTCTTTTTCAAGCCTCTCTTTTTGATGCTATGTTTGCAACACAGCAGAGAAATCCTAGTGCATGTCCTCTTTCCATGAAACCCACTGTTCTATACACTGATCAACTGAAAAGAGAAAAAATAATTTAACAGTTCTAGGATGCATCAGAATTAATGCACTTACCACGTTAACTGCCATGGCTCAATTTATGGAATCCCATGACTTGTAATTTGGTGAAGCACCAGCCCTCTTTGGCAGAGAAGGGTAACGATCTTCTAAAACTACACCTCCCAGTATTCCATAACATTGAGCCATGATAGTCAAACTAGTGTCAAACTGCATGAATTCCACACTGTAGATGCACTCATATAGATGCTGACATAGAGGTTCCACTACATTCCATGGGATTCACCTTTAAACAAGAGCATATAGAATTGCAGCCCAAAGGGGATGGGAGGGAAGTTGGCATTTGACATTTTCACCCTTTCCACCACTTAAATATATATTTTGTCCAAATACATTGTTATCTTTCAATATGGAATAGGTTACTTTTGGGGATTGTTATTCCAAACATGCAATTATTAACTTGGGGGATGGGAGGTGGGAAACACATCCCCTTCAGTTTGTGGTGACATTGTTGGAAGTTTTTTTTTATCTCAGCAGTAACTTTTACAAGATCTTTTCCAGTTCCACCTCCCCCCTCCTTCAGCTTCTAGTCAGAGCCTGCGATTAAGCTGAAAATCGATGTTGTCTTAGGTGTCCTGAGACTTCCTTTTGAAACAATACCTGTGAAATTGCGATTCTCTTCTCCTTTCCCCTCTTTCTAAAACAGGCGTTTGCTGCTTCCTCCTCCTGTTGTCCTGAGTGAATTGAATGATTGGGCTTGTGCAATAGGGGGGAGAGGCATAGACATTCTCCTGGTCAATGAACTCACATATTACAGAGCTGGATGAATCATGCTCAGTGGTGGTTGTGTTGGGGGGGGGGGGGTAGTTCTCTACCTATACCTCTGAGGAATTAAAGACAAAACAGGCTGATACAAGAGGCAGTCAGGATTATTAGGAAGTCCCTGAAGTGTGGGACTCTGGCCAGTATCCCAATGGTATCCATCATCACTGTGATGCTTGTTGTTGTTGTTGTTATGTGCATTCAAGAAAACTCCAATTTATGGCCACGGTAATGACAATTTCTTCACAAGATTTATTCAGAGATTTACCATTGGACTCTTTTTTGGTAGAGTGTGGACCTATCTACACTGCCATATAATGCAATTTGAACTGCATTATATGGCCAGTGCAGACTCATATAATGTAGATTGAACAGCATTGAACTGGATTCTTTGACTCTACACTGCCTTATAATCCAGTTCAATCTGCATTGTAATAACAGTGTAGATGGGGCCTATGTTGTATTAGCATTAGGAGGACTTGGGTTCAAATTCCCCACTTAGACATTGTGTGCTTGGGACAATCATGATCTCGCAGCTGAAATTATTTCACAAATATAATATAAATGAGTGAAGCGGACAATGTACATCACTTTAAACTCACTGGAGAAAATGTAAGATATAACTGTAAGAAAACCCCTTAATTTCACTATGCTAGTAGTAAACCCTGCTATATTTACACAGTATAAATATGAAAGAGTACGATCCCATCTACTGCCTCTACTTCAGTGTTTGTATATCAACAGCATGCACACATACAGCTTATGTACCAGGAATGAAAATCATGCAGCCTTCTAGATTTTGTTGTACTGCAGCTTCCAGTACTCTTCCATCGTCAGTTGAAGACTGGAGCTGTTGGGAACTGCAGTCCAACAACATTGGCTACATGATTCCTGTTCCAGTTCTATACAATCTGCAAAATCCCTGGTTGTTCAAGTTTGTACGTGAGTTGTACTTTAGTAATTCTTATTGTGTTCTTCTGTGTACAAAGGAATCACAGAAGGCAGATAAACATAAAAACACAGTGCACATCATTAAAACAACAAACAAAACAAAGTAAAATGAAAACATTGGAATGAATGACAGCTCTAATGCTATTCATGTTTTTATATTATTGTTAACTCACTCTCCACGGGGCTGCCTTTGAAGTGTGTTCTGAAACTGCAACTCAGTCCAAGGAGCTGCAGCCAGACTACTGAGCATGGCTACTTTTAGAGATCATACAACTCTTTGTTCCATTTCCAGGCTCCATTCAGTCTTCTGGTTATGATCTATAAAGCCAATATAACTCAGGTTCACATATCTGAAGGAACAAATTCTCCCATTTGAGCCTGTCCATGTTGGGAGATCTTCTGAGAAGGCCTTCCTGTTGTCCCACACTATCAAATGCATTTTATTCTGATTGATTGATTATTGGGCCTAAACTGATGTAGGAGAAGGGGTGGGGTTGAAGAAGAGGTGGTGTAGTTTGCATTTAAGCCCCTCATCCAGTTTGATCCTTCACAATATAGCTGCAAAACCTACACTGAAATAAAATTAAGAAGTAAGAATACAAGTTATAGCTTGATTGGTGACAAACAGATGGAGAAGGACATCAAGAAAAGCATTCTTACATCCTTTTGGTCCATTGCTAACACAGCCTCCAGAGCAGATGATCCTGTGGTCCATACAGCTGGAAGCTAACAATGTTTTCATGCTGGTTGTGCCATCAAGTTTTTGGTTTCCCCTTCCCAAGATGGAGACACAGGAAAATCATGTGGGGGTTACATACCTAAACAGGTTAAGACTTTTGGAAGTTACAAAATGATAGTCATAGGTTTGAGGGGGATATTGTTCTTCCCTTCTGATTCTTCCCAAGATGGATGAAGGAGTAGCTTGCTGTTAGGGAAAAAAAGCTTCTCATCATACCCATCTCACACTCTCATGTTTTCTAATTTGGCAGGGACAGTAGTCTTGATTAATCCTCTGTCATCCCACTTTTCAATTTCCTTAAAAAGGACTCATTTTCTCTCTACTCCTTCTGTTTTTCCCTCTGTTATCAACTAACTTCAATTGCTGCAAACTGAATTCAAGGCACATAAGAAGTTTGCATTCAATTAACTCAGCAGGGTGGAGAGAAGCAGGTGGGATTTTTTCTTTCTCATTGGGCTCCAGCCAAAGCAAATTACTACATTATCTCCAAACTTATATGACCTTCCTCATTAATAACTTCTGCTGTTTTGATCACACTGTGATGTTGCTTGGCCACACATGTCCCAGTTTTCATCTGTGAAATGCTGGACAATATCTCAGTTTATTTTAAAGCTTAAGGACCCTTTGCAGAGTACACAAAACTTAAGCACAGTAGAATGAACTTATGAAAGAATTAAATACGTGGGCTTTAAAGCAAATGTTACAATAAATGTGAAAGCACAGATGAAAAATCCAATTACTAGGAATGTGCAATTAAAAAAAGGTTCTAAAGTGTGTTCAAAAGTCCTTTCTGAATTTTTGGGGGAAATGTTTTGAAACTTTACAAAACTTCTGAATCTTTGTAAGTACTTTGCTAACGGTGGCTGCACATGCACAATAGGGAAAACATCATAGTGGGGAAACTTCAAGGGCATCTCTATCCCTCAGTACTTATGATATCCTAATGAAACTTGCTACAGTGGTAAAAGACATTTACCACTATTAGTCCACCAAATTTCACAGTGTTTGAATTATCCATGGATTTTTGGAGAATTTTTAATTTTTTCTAAGACTTAAAAAAAAAACTACAAGAGCTAGCTCCTTGATTTTTCTATCCAATGACACAAGATAACAGGGGCTCACCCCCCCCCAGCTTTCATAAATACTAATACATCTACTGATTTATGTTTTTTTTTTAAAAAAATCATAAAAACTAATGGTTTTAAGGGGAGGGATAATTTTCTCTCTCCTCTCCTGATTGGTGCATTCTCCTCCCGAGGCATACTGGGGAATGTAGCTTAAGGCAGAGCCTTTTTCAATCTCTACCATTGGGGACCTGGCTTTCCTAAACTACAGTTAAGGTGGTTATGATTAGCCACACCCACAGCCCTATGGCAGTGCCAGAAAAGATGGGGCCAAAATAATGTGATTTTAAAAGATTATAAAAGCAGCATTACCAAAGTTTTAATGGTTATAGTGAAAATTAAACTGACCTTGAGAGACATCCGAATATTACAGAACATTTACGAAAAAAATAGGCAAGTGATTCAAATTCTAAATCCCCCTCCTCCCCATACCTTTCCTGCATGCCTTGGAACTCAACTTCATTTGTCCAAATTTAATGAATCAGATATGAGTTCTGATGTAATCTGCAATTTTGCGCAAGTCTACTAATTACTAAACTTTATATTGCTTCCACAAACTGACTACATAGCAGCAGTAGTAAGATGGCCACAGTTGCTATGGAGGATTATGAGAAGGGTGATAGTGAAAGCTGTGAGAAGAAGAGCAGTTCCTGTTCCTGTTTTACATTGCCATATAATCCAGACTATCAAATCAGTTAATCCAAATTATCTATTTGAACTGGATTATATGAGTCTACACTGCCAGAACATCCAGCTCAAAGCAGATAACCTGGATTTTATATGGCAGTATAGAAGGGGCCTTACACTGTTGCTATGCCCTGCTTGGAAAAGGTCTTAGAATTGTGTAACAGGCAGCTATGGATGTATCTCTACATTGTAGAATTAATGCAGTTTGACCCTACTTTAACTGCCATGATACAGGGAGCTGGAGTTTGGTGAGGCTCCGCATTCCTTGGCAAAGAAGACTAAAGACTTAGTAAAACTACAGCATTCATGATTCCATGGCACCAGGCCCGTAGCCAGGATTTTTGTTTCAGGAGGGGCTGAGTTTGATTCGGGGGGGGGGGGGGGGGGGGCTGAGTCTGAGTGAAAGAGGATCTACCCTAGCAAACCTTTTGTATCGTTACCCCAATACCCCCATGCATATGGGATATATTGAGCATGGTGAACAGATCATGATATGAATAAACATAACAGTTTAAATAATGTACCAGTAAGGCCTTCTCGCGGACCACTATGAGAATTTCGGGGGGGGGGGGGGCTGAAGCCCCTCAACCCCCCCTCCCCCTGGCTACATGCCTGCATGGCACTGAGCTAAAGTGGTGTGACACTGCTCTAATTTTGCAATTTAGTTACACCCTCTGCCAGTGTCAATCATTCCATGTTCCTGACTATATTAGCATTGGACCACAATGCCCATCAGTCCAAACCAGGATAGCTAACAGTGAAGAATAATGGAAGCTGTAGTCAAACAAAATCTGAAGAGCCATCCTTAATAGAGGCACCTACTCACAGTCTGAAGTGGGATTTACACAGGTTTACTACTGCACTGAGAAAATGAGGCCATTTTTTTTGTATTATTATTTTTATCAGGCTGCTGTACCATGGCAGTTAAGTACAAAAGGGAACGGAAGGTTGATTGTCCCTTCCCACCCCCAGCTTGATACTCTCTCTGCCTGTAAATGTTTCTTGACTTGCCTCTTTATCCGGCCCAGGAGATCCATAGCAGCTAAATGTATTGCTTTCCTCTCCTTTGTGTGCTGCAGTTCAATGCAAAAATTGCTGCTTTGGCACGGTGTCCATGTCAGTCTTTCCTTGTGATCATGCTGTCCCCAGGGAACCACACTGTCACAGTTATCCAGGATCCCAGGAAGTACCCATTAGCTCTGGCTGACTCATGAATTCGTTCAAGTGCAATTTATGTTTTCTTTTTTGTTTTGTTTTCTGGATGCATGCATTCTCTTAGTCCTGATCTTAGCTAGCCAAGCTTCCGTTTATATTGTCACACAGAAACAAACACAATGGCAAGCCTCTATACTTTTACCCTTTGTGCAGTGTCTACCTCAATATGAGATGGTGCTTTGAACATGATTTCTCAATTCACAGTCCTTTCTACAAGAGTTTGTGACTGA